GGGGGGGGGGGGCAGCTTTCGGACGTTTCGGCAAATTTTAGTCAATTTCAGTAAGTTTCAATAAAATTCAGTAAAAAATCGCTAAAATTTAATATCAAGAAAAATATTACTCAACATGTTTATCATTGTTACACCGTACAGCATAGTAATGTTGAATCAATGTTGAAAAAATGTTGAATTGCAACAATGTCAATATTGCAATAATATTGAGAAACATTGAATCAACGTTGCACAAAATTATAATGTAAAAATGTCTGCTTAAAAGTTTTCTGCGTAACTTTCATAAAAAACTAATTCTTAATTTTCTCATGTCTTATAACTGCTAGGAACCGAAGATTGTCAAACACACTTTAAAATTTCCGCGAATCCTCCCTCGATAATTTTGAATTCGAAGCTGGGTCACTCCATCCATGTCCTGACTGCGTTAAAGTGTTGCCGACGATCGAGCGGCACGCGGTAATTCCAATAACTCCAACGATATTCTTACAATTTATGTTTATATAATGTGTACTTATAGTGTTCACAGTATACTATAACGTACCTAGCAAATACGCGCGTTGATTCGCCTATTTATTTTATTTAATATCTCTAAAGTTTATGTGGTTACTTCCCAATGAAAAATTTTTCATGCAAAATTATGTATGAAATTTGTCCATACATAATTATGTATAATTATATATAATCATATAAAATTATATATAATTATACACAATTATGTATAACAATATGTATAATTACATATAAATCTATGCGTACTTATGTAAAATTATATATAAATTTATATATATAATTATACATAATTATGTATAATTACATATATAAGTAGAATGTATGAACATAAATGGACAAATTTGATATATAATAATATATAATTACGTATAATTATATATAATTTTATATAATTTTATATAATTATATATAATTTTATATAATTATACATAAGTATATATAATCATATAAAATTATATATAATTATACACAATTATGTATAACAATATGTATAATTACATATAAATCTATGCGTA